AACAAAGGGATATCTGTTGTAGAGGGACACCCAAGTAGGGAGATGGGAGGGCTAAGAAACCTAAAGCTATAGTTTGCAAGCTATGAAGCTAGCTCAGAACCTGGTACTGTCGATGTCTTTAACCTCCATAGAGAAACAGCCTCTAGGAACGACAGGATCAACAGAGACAAAAGTCCAGCATCCGCAGGCCCCGAAGTCCCACAGTGCTTCTCCCCAGAGACTGATCTTTAAAAGGAGGGACGCCTCCTTCCAACCCCAGTATGACTAAATAAATGCCAGCAGCGCAAAGTGCGCATCCCTGGGACACAATTCATGATCACCCCAGAAATGTAGTCCTCTCACAGGAAAAATGCCGCTCCCAGAACCTTCTCAAGAGCACTCTTGCTCCCCACTGGGGGTTTTGACTTTAGACTAGGGAGTTACACAGGCAGGACCGAGCAGCCGGGTGCCAGTTGGCCTAGGTGCGCCAGGTGCGGCGTGGGGCCTCGGGGTGATGGGTGGGTCCCTTACGGTCTCCCGCAGCTTCCGCTCCTGATCCAGTTCGCGCTGCAGGCTGCCCGCACGCTCCTCTGCGGCGTCCGCCTGCTCTTGCAGGCTCCGGATCTTTCTCCGCACCGCCTCCAGCGAGCTGCTACCCGCCATGGCGAGGCGGCGGCTGAGGCTGCGCTCTGCCTCCGCGCTCTACTGCTGCTACTGCTGCTGCTGCGGCTGCAGCTACAGAACCCAAGTCCGGCGCGTTCCGCCCAGGCCGGCTTTGCAACACCGGCGCCCCCTGCGGCCCAGAAGCAGCCCGGAAGTCACGGCCCCGGGGCCGCACCAGAGAGCCGCGGGCGGGTGCGCGAGCGCAGAGGACGGGCGCGGCTGGCAGGCGGGCGGGGCACGGCAGACCCCGGGAACAGGCTGCCGGTGGAACCACTGCGCGTGCGCGCGGGGACGCCTGGCTCTGGGCTGCTTCGCCTAGAGCGAGGCCACCGCAGGAGGGCGTTTGCTTTCACTCCGCTGCGCCTCGGTGGCCACAAGTAGAGGGTCTGGATGTTAAAGCCTATGGCGACTCCTGCTGGTCGCTTGGAGAGCTCCGGAATCCCGATTACTGAAGCTGAGCCAGGCTGGGAGTCTGGACCCTGAATGTTCCCTAAAGGAACTGTTTTGGTCATAAGGAATGCCATCATTCTAAATGCTAAAGGCCATGGCGACTCTGGCTGGCTGTTCTGAGCGCTCAGTAATCCCTACTTCACAGAATCCGAACATGGAACTTGAAGCCTATAGTATGACTATCTTAAGGGAAGTGGTTCTTGTAAAGAATCCTAGAACACAAGCTCCAAGACTACAAGTACCCCAATACCCCAATTATCTCACCAAGTGCAAATTACTATCTGACAATGCGCAGTGGTTAGACTGTTCGAAATACAGCTTTTCTAGATTTGAATCTAGCTCTTAGGTCTCTGCTGGCTTTGGACAAATGACTTCTCAGGGCTTCATCTCTTAAAAACGAGTATAATAGTACAGGGCTCTTCACAGGGCTGTTGAGAATTATCAGATAATATAAAACACTTAACAATGCCTTGCATATAGTTAAGAACTCAAACGATATAATTAAACAAACGCAGGCACTACCTTAAGAGTTTGGTGGGGCCCCATGTCCTGTTGTGCAATCTCAGTCAAGGCAAGCATCCTAACCTTCCCTGGCTTCAATTCAGTCTGATATCTGGAATCTGATAAACCCAAGCTGCAAAACTACAGAAACCTGTGACAGAACCTCTGGTTACTAGCTGCAAAGCCACACAGATACAATCTGGAAGAAGCCATCTGTCAAGTCTCTGGGCTTTATATCCTCCTGCACCTTTGTCAAAGAGAGCTCTTAAAGTCAGTCCTGGACCTATTTAAGTGTGTGTGTGTGTGTGTGTGTGTGTGTGTGTGTGTGTAAACAAAGGTAGAAAAAGAAAACACTCCTGCCAAGGCTGTCTTCCAAAACCAGAACACCTATGGCATTCCTAGTCCCCTCTGGCCTCTGTTGCAGAAAACAAGCCTCCAAATTCTGGCTAGAGCCCTCAAGTCCTGTAGGTGGAGCCTCTTGCTTGGTTTCCAAGCCCTTGGTCGGCTGAGCAGTGGTTGGTACAGCTCCTCCCCAAAGCTCACAGACGATCTGCCTCCAACCTTGAGGATGACCAGACAGGGCATCTGCAACCGTCCAAGGGCAGGCAGGGAAAATGCTGGCCATTTGCCAATGCAGTAAGCAGCCACCCTAGTGACTTCATGTCTTGCTTTTCAAGCACTAGGAAGTCAGTTTCGGGAGTTTATTTTCAAGCTGATGTCACTACTGAAGAGCTATGGGCAGTTAGTTGTTCGGTTTAGCTACAGGATGGAATCCCTTGGTTATTTAAGAAATACTGTGTCTGGGTCCCATCCCAAGAGATCCCAGGGGGGAAAACCCGAGTTTAGACAAGCCTGAGTCAGTACACTAGGTAGAAGACCTAGAGGGAGAAAGACTCATGTCCCAAAAATATCAGCTCCATCAGTTACTGGGGGGAAGGAGCCAAGATAATGGAGTAAAAATCCAAAGCAGACTGCTGGGGATGCTAGCTAGCTCCTGTGTGACAGCCTTTTAAACTGAGGAAAACCTGTTTCTGGAAGACTAGTTTGTAAAGTAGGTTGGTAAATTGGGAAAATGTTTTTAGCAATAATAATAAAAAATGTATTTTTTTAACACTAGAGAGTAAAATGTCCTCACTGCAATGCTTCAGGAGGATGACTTCTCTTCCACCTCTTCCCTTTAGTGACACAGGTCGTTTCCTCTTCAAGTCTTAGCTATTTCAAGTGAGTCAAGATCTCTCTAAATATAACGAGTCCTCATGAACCTCCTTCAACATTCCTTATCTCCAAAGAGCTAAGGGTGTTTTCCAGAGGTAGATGATCAATACACCAACCAAAAGAAACTGAGAAGCACACGCTCACACCATATTTAGAGACAATTTTCCAGCACATAGAAAGAACCAAAACTGGCTTTAAGAACCTCCCTCTCCTCCTGGCCCCGCCCCCACAGCTGACTTTAAATAGCCTCCTTTCTACTTCTGACCCACCCCATTCCAGTAGCCCCCCCCCCCCCACGATTTCTCATTAAAGACATGATTACCACTCCATAGTTACAACAATTATCATCCCCTCACCTCCTTAAGAATTATAGTAACATTTTTCTTTCTGCTTTCTTTCCGCACTGGGCTATTTGCAAATTCCCCGAATTCCTTTCCTTATAAGGAATATCTCTCCTAGATCTATCAGCGGCTCTTTTGAAAAACCTAAATAAATGTCCTGCAGGAGGATTTGGGGGAGATGGGCATCCTCCATTTAACATGTACAAAGCAGACATCTGATCCACATTATACAAAACTGGCTCAGAGTCGTGAAGGCTGTTCTGTTGTTGTTCTTTTTCTAAAGTCAGGTAGGTTTTAGTATGAGTTTTAGCCAAGCAGTGCTTCCCGAAGCCTCCTTCCCAGGAAACTTAATCGTCACTGAAAGTTTTCTTTTGTCCGATCCCAGTTGTTGGCTGGTTTAGACCACCCATTTACCAAGAACACTGGATAAACCTCAAGCCTTTTGGGACACAAAAGGCCTTGCAGGTTTCAAAAACCCTTGGGTAATCTGCATTACACATTATCCAAAAACACAAAACCAGAAAATTACAAACTGCTGTCAAACTTGGGGGTTCGACTTCTGGGTGTAGCTTTCTCTGCTACTCACACATTCTTGGAATTGTTATCAGCTTCCCAAGGAATTCTTTTCTAATTGGGCCTCTAGGCTTAATTGGCTTCTCCAGTGGAATGTAGTGGTGTGAAAAGAAGTCAGTCCTTTGGAAAACTGACCCTCAGCTTGACTTTCTACACAGAAGAGACTAACCCTGTAGTTAAGATTCCAAAGGGCAGTGGAGAGGGTGCTTAGCAGAGTTGGAGCTGTGTCTATCACCCCCTGGAAGTATGCCGTGGTTGTCAGAGGCCTGACAGGTGGGGGTGGGGCGGGCAGGGGGCAGTCAGCTCACTATGCCATATAAAGCACTGAGCTATATATAACTCCCTGCGTACTTTCTGGATCTAGTGCCTCAGACTGCAGACCCAAGCAAGTATCATCTTCCCTGGGCAGGTCTTAAGGCTTGCCTGAGTGAGAAAGAGAGCCTCAAAGTGTCCCTATAGTCTTCAAGCTTAGCCTTTGAAGTAAAAAAGTATGAGTGCATGTAAGGGCCAGGCTCTCTGTATCCAGACTAGGCCCATCATCGGAAACCACGGGGGGGGGGGGGGGGGGGGGACGACTAGGTATTCTGTTTTGCACAAACCTTGGCGATGACACACACTTCAGAGGTTTTATACCAGCAGGAGGCGAAGTTCACCTCCAGAAGTCCCCATTTCAGAGGCTGTGTTCTCCCAGCTTCTCACCCACCCACCTCCAACCAAAGGGGAGGAGGTAAAGAAGAGGAAAAAAGAGAAAAAGGAACGGATGAAATATAAATGAATGTGCGCAGCGGCAGTCAGAGGTGGCATCCATGCTCTGGGCCATGGCCAGGCTGTGTGCAGGTGTCCGGCAGGAGGAGGTTTACCTCCTTCCTTTGCTCTGCAGCCCCTGTGGTGACCCCCAGAGTGGCCACGCGGACAGGAGGTGAGGGAGGCAGTGTGAGCGTGCACTTACATCTGTGGCCTTTTTCTCCGCCAGCTCCAGCTTCTCCTGGGCATCTTTGAGAGCCTCGGAGTATTTGTCCAGTTCATCTTCAGTGCCCTTGAGTTTCTTTTGCAGTGACACCAGCTCATCTTCCAGCTGGGAGTTGGCGGTGGGGTACGAGGAAGGGGAGATGGGGGTGGGGTGCGGCAGGCAGCGTGATCCCGCAAGGTGCGGGGTGAGGGTGCACAGACCGTAAAGGACAGGGACAGCGGGAGAGAGAGAGAGAGGGAAAGACAGGGAGGGAGAGAGAAGAGAAAGTTAGCCATTCGTGCGCCGTGCCACGCCGCGCGCCCGGGTACCTTGGCGGCGGTCTCGTCGGCAGCCAGGAGGCTGTCCTCTGCCTTGTGCAGCTCCTCCAGCACCCGGTCCCGCTCGTCCTCCGACGCCCGCAGCAGCTTCTCTTTCGCTGCGATGTCCTCCTCGAGCTGGGGGCAGCAGCGAGCGGGCGCGGGCGGCCGGTATGGACCGGGTGTGAGACACACAACAAACGGGTGCCAGGTTGGCTGGGGCCCTGGGGCTGAGGGATCGCTGCTTTGGGGCTCAAGGGACCCTAGATAATCTCTCTCCCGGAGCTGGAACCTCTCAGTGACTCATCTCGCACCGCCCCCCCCCCCGCCCCTCCTGGGACCACACTCTCCTGCCGAGAGCTCAGAGAGCTCAGGTCCCCGACTTGAGGGGTTGCAGAAACACGCCCCTGTTTGGCTAGCTTTCCATCTGTGTCTTCCATTCTGTCCCATCTTTGTTCTTAGGAAATAATTCAGCGACTCCCCTCTTCCCTCCAAAGTCTCCATCGCATGTTCAAGGGCTCTTTCTCCCCAACCAAAAAGTCCAAAGAACTCCGGACACTCTAGGACTTTTTGCCTTGCCCCGCTCCCCCGCCCTTCCCTCCGGCTACATCGGGAATTGGTCTCCTTTCTCTCCCTTCCTCTTTCAAAATTGATTCCCAGTCAAGAACCCCTCTAGGGAGTTCATGGACCTCGCGGACCGTGGGATCCAGAGAAGGGCCACAAGCGTCCTTGGAGGAGACAGAAAAGTTAAAAGTAGCCTAACTCGCGCTGCTTCTTCTTCTTCTTTTATTTATTTTTTTTAGACGCGCGCTCCTGGACACCTTGGGCTTGGGATGGGATGGGGAAAGGGTGCCAGCTCCGGTATCGGGGGTGACCCACCGACTCTGAGTCGGGGCAGTGGGGGGTGAGGGTGGGGGTAGGCGCAGACCTGCTTGCTCCGGTCTTCCGCCGCCTTCTTGTCAGCCTCCGCCTGCTCAGCTCGATCCAAGGCGTTCTCTTTGTCGAGCTTCAGCATCTGCATCTTCTTCTTGATGGCGTCCATGGTGGCGGTGGCGAGGGGCCCTTAGGCAGCGTAAGGAGCGAAGACACGAGCGCTGTGGGGTGGCCGAGACGGAGTGCGAGCGCGGAGCTGCCTGCTGCTCTCTGATATGTACTTTCCCAGGGGGGCGACCGCATTCCTCAGGACAGCCAATACTTTTTTGGAAAAGCTTGTTCCTCCTGCCCCCTTTCCCAGTCTCCTGCCTCCGCCCCGTGCCCCCTCCTCGCTCCTCCCGCGGGGGCCGCACGCCCATTCGCTGCCGCCTGCCGGCCTCCCAGTTGACGGTGGATATGACTATATATGGGGACCCGAGCCTCCGAGGCGGCGGCCGGGCGAGGCCGTCCTATTTCTAAACCTGTGCGCCTGGGAAAGAGCGCCCGGACCTCGCTGGAGCGGAGCCCGGCGCTGAGCGAGAGTCTCTAGCCACCTCCCAGAGCCATCGCCTGGCCATCAGGATCCCCAGAAGAGCCCTCTTGGAGCCACTCGGGATTCTGGGAACAGGGCAGGTGGTGTGTGCGCACCGGTCTCACTTGGCGTCCAGATTCTGGGGTGCTCAGCCTAAGACCTGGGGGCCACCTGTCACAGCCACTGCACCTCGAATCTGGGTCTGGGAGCTTCTCAGTACCCAGCGGCGCTCTTCCGGCAGCTCTTGGCCTACCAGGTGTAGACCCGGGCTCTTATGTTCTGGAAGTTTCAACCAGAGCAGAGAAATAGAGCTGGAGGAAGGTGTGGGGGTCATTCCTGACTCTCTGCCCTTGCTGGTGGACACAATGACAGCGAATAGGTCTCTTGAGTCTTTTCACCAAGATGGGGGTGGGTAATAAAATACTTGAGGGACTTAGGGCCCAGTTGGCGGAGTTATGTGCATATGTGGTGCTTTGGAAAGGGTAGAGGGAGTGTGTTAGTGTGTAGAGGTTTGTTTTTTTTTTTTTTTTCTTTTCCTGTGGGAACTGGGGGAGGTGCATCTTGGCGTCTCCTCTTTAGTCATGATCAGCTGTGTAGCCGTGATTAGTAACAGCCTCAATTCTGCAGCTCCCTCTATTTATGTATTTGGATATTTTATTATACTCATTTACTTATGGGGAGGGGGGCTCACAGAGGTGCACTCTGTCATAGTGGGCTGTGGCAGTCAGAGGACAACTTTTAGGAGTCAGTTCTCTTTCCACCCTGTGGGGCTTGGGATGCAACACAGGTCTTTGGACTTGACTCCTTTTCCTGCTGAGCCATCTTGCTGGTCCTGTTTCCTCATATCTAAGATCAGAGGGTAGAGGGGTCCCAAAGACCCTTCAGATCTTGTTTTTCATCTTTTCCTTGCACTGATCCATACAGAGAATCTCTCTCTCTCTCTCTCTCTCTCTCTCTCTCTCTCTGTGTGTGTGTCTGTGTGTGTGTGTGTGTGTGTGTGTGTGTGTGTGTGTGTGTGTGTGTGTGTATGTATGTGTGTTAAGCACTTGGGTGCCAGGGTGCTGAGAACATGGTACAAATTAGTCTAACAAAAAGACTCTATCCATAGCCTGAACTCTGCAGAGGGAAGGGGCCAGCTCAGCTCTGCGTTGTGGGAGAAGTTTGTGAAGGCAGGATTTCCCCCTCTATCTCTTTAAACGTACCTCAAGGAGGAGAAGCCTGATCTTCTCAGTTTCAATGAGGCTTCAAGAGAGGGGGGCTGTCCCCAAACCTTACCGATGACCAGCTGAGACAGGGTTGTGAGGGTCTTGTGACCAGTCCCTACAGAATAATTTACAGCCTGTACTACATGGATATCAAATATTCCCCAGACGGTGTCCGAGCAGATTAGGCAGGCCAAATGACTTGTTAAGTCCTCCAAGAGAATGATCAAATTCCTCTTTAGGATTTTATCAGATTTCTGATTGCCCAGGAGGGAAAACACAACCTCTTGTAATGACCAGAACATGAGAGCTGGGTGCACAGGGGCTTTGTGGCACAGAAAATTCACCAGAGCCCTTGCTTGCCACATGCCCAGTGACTCAGAGCGCTGACACACTGAGCACAGGCCTTGGGCAGTATTCAGGTGTGTGGGCTGTAGGAAGCTGACTCTCCAGCTTGGGGTTAACAGAGGGGGAAGAATAGGGACTCGGGAGTTAGAAGTTGAGATCCAAAATGGACGTGGCCACTTCTTTTTAATGTAGCCTTAGCCATGGTAAGCCTTCCTCCATTCTCTGTTCTCTGAATGGGGTGCTGGAGTAGACACTGACTTTCTCAGTGTGCTGGGCGGAGCTGAAGATCTACTGAAGCTGAAGGGTCACTACAGCCTTTTAAAATGAGCTAAGGCTGCAGTTCATCAAACACGGCACAACTGGCTACCCGCTACATACACAATGGGCACTACTGGACTCCGGACTTAAAACTGGGTGACATTCATCTTTCTCATCCTGATGTTGAGAATGAACAGGGGTGTAAGACCTCAGAAAGGGAGATGCAGGAAGAACCAAGTCAGAGCAGACAGAAAAGCCTTCTTTGAGAAGTTTTAAAACAGATTTTAGAGGAGGGTAACAACGGAGTGAGAAGCCATTGACGGTGGTTGGGTAGTAGGTTTTCTGGGACATCAGACTGGAAAGGCAAGGTGAGGCCAGATGGGAGAGGACTTGGGAGTCTAGGTGGTTCTTGAACTCCCATTCTCTTTCCTCTGCCTCTTGAGTCCTGGGGTTACATAATACATGACTCTTGTGTGGGTAGAAGTTATAGATTTCTTTCTATTTCTCCTTAGCCCTGGCCTGTGTCTCACCTACAGCTTTACTCAAAGGCTGGAGCCAATGGAGCTCAAGTGTGGAAAATGGAGTTACAGTGAGCTAAGTGTGTGTGTGTGTGTGTGTGTGTGTGTGTGTGTGTGTGTGTGTGTGTGTGGTCAACCTTGATGTTGCTCCTCAGGATGCCATCTACTTTGGTTTTGAGACAAGGCCTCTTACTGGCCTTGTAGGCTAGGCTTGCTGGATGGAGATCCCCAGGGGTCCTCTGCTCTAGCGCTGGGATGGCAAATGTACACCACCACACCTGGATTTTCAGCACAGATTCTGGGGAGTGAACTCAAGTGCTCACTAAGCTAGCTTCCTAGTTTCAGAGCTACCGTATTATCACCACTGGTGGGTTGACACAGTAGGTCCCTGACTTCAGTCATTGCCATTTCACTCCTGTGGACTTCTGTTCTCTGATTAATAGCCTGACAGCTGGCCAGGTCCCACCCAACTTCATGGATTGTCCTACCCATGGCCTTCCTTCCATCAGGAGATATGACAAGCCAAATACCATGATTTCAACAACAAACTCTGGGCAGGTCTTCTGATCTTCGAAGTGGACCATGAAGAGAGAGCTGGATAGCCACTTGCTATATGGTATATCTTTGTTCCCTAGTAATTGGCCATGAACAAGGACAGGTAGAAAGATGAACCAAGGAGCTAATGTGGCCTGTCAGGCAAAGGTGAACCGGGCTACTCAGCCTCTCTCCCACCGTAGAGCACACTAAGGAACACGGAAAATATGAATCATAACTTCAATATGAAATGAAAAGGCCTTGGAGTTTGAGCTGAAGAGGCCATGTGCAGAAGTGGTTATGGTTATTTAATGGTGCTTGGGCTCTCTCTGTCCAGCCAGTGCCTTGGCAGGATTGTATATCCTCGCCAAAGTCCATTAGGTGCTTGCTTTGGTCAAGGAAATGTGAGTATAAGAGACCTGTGATGGATACTTTAAGAGCTGGTCTATGCCTCACAGTGTTTACTTTTTAAGGTTGTCATTTCTCTGTCATTCTGAGTTCTCATGTGACCTCCTCCCCCATGACTAACTCTTGGTGGACATGTAATGAGATCAAGATAGAAGAAATCTTTGCATTTCTATTTTGCGATTTTAGGTCACTGAAATCTGGGGCTTGTTTGTTACTGAAACAGAGCTAGTTTTACCTGACTAATACACACTATAGGCTGTTTCAGATAGGGGGAAGCAGAGAACTCTGATCATAGAGATAGGAGAATGCAGCAACCATGTCGAGATGAACAGAATATAATTCAGAGAGAGATTAATGCCTTATATTCCTCATTTCCCAAGGGCATAGGAGAAGGCCAGTGTTTCTTGACAGTAAAACAAACAAACAAACAAACTGATTTTTTTAAATTAAAAAACAAAAGCTGGGCGGTGGTGGTGCACGCCTTTAATCCTAGCACTGGGAGGCAGAGGCAGGCGGATCTCTGTGAGTTTGAAGCCAGCCTGGGCTACCAAGTGAGTTCCAGGAAAGGCACAAAGCTACACAGAGAAACCCTGTCTCGAAACACACACACACACACACACACACACACACACACACACACACACACACACACACACACACAGCAAGTCACCAAGTAATGGTGGAGTGGGGACATGAACAACATCCTTGGCTCACTTGGCTCAGAGTTTCTGTGTGAGCACTGGATGTCCACACTTAATCAGGACCTGTACTCAGTCATTTCTCCACAAATATTTGTTGAATGGCTTTTTAATGGCAGTAATGGGGAGCTAGTATCTGGGGAGACATATTAGTGACATTTTTCACTGTTGTGACCAAGTACCTGATGAGAAGCACACTTAAGGAAGGGAAGGTTTATTTTGGCTTACAGTGTGAGGCGTGGAGGGGAAGTCACAGCAGGGGAATTTGAGGCGGCTGGTCACATTGTGTCCACGACCAGGAAGCAAGGCACAAGGAACGTCTGTGCTCAGCTGTTCTTCTCCTGTTACTCAGTCTAGGACCCCCCGATCATGGAATGGTGTCCCCTACATTCAGGATGAGTCTTCCCACCTCAACTAACTTTATCAAGATAATGCCTCACTTGCAGGCCTAGAGATTCCCCCCGCCACCCCCCCATGACAATTCTGAACCCCAGCAAGTTGACAATCATCATTAACCACCAGAGATGGTAAGGTATCAAAACAACATTCAAAAGACCTCATTTCCACCCAAGATAAGGACTTCTATTTTTTTAACTTTCTTTTTGTTTACTCTTTGTCTTTCACATCATGCCTCCCAATCCCATCCATTTCTCCCACCCCCACTTTCAGTTATTATTATGCAGTACTGTGTTATTCATTAAGCAGCGCTGTTTGCCTGCTTACCATATGAGAAGAGCCAAGAGGTATGACAGACAAAACCCACTATAAGAGTTTATTAAGAGAAGGAACAGAGGGGAATGTGTTTAGGCCTATGGAAGACTGCAGA